CTACGGAAAAGTTTGTGAGATACGTACCTTTTTAGCATGAGACTTTGGTTCTAATTCCAGCAACATTTGTAACGGTTATAAGTGTAGGTGGCTAGTTGAGCTCCAAGGACGACGTGTGCATAAACGCACGTGCACTTCTCAACTAAATTGCACGTGCACACTAAATTTAGTACATTTACGCTTCGACTATTTTTCACTAAATTTTACTAAATTTCACTATTTTAATTGCCCTATTTCATTATGACGTCACAGTATGTTTACATCGGAAAACGATGCTCAAAAACAGCGGAAATTTGGACCCATTTATATTGTCGTAGAACTTCAGTGAATCGTGTTTTGATTTATATCATGTATAAATGATTGCTCATGTACATTTATTTGATATGCAGTCACTCTGATCCCTTCTGGCGACCATAATCCTTAGCGTTAAAACAATAGAATGTTTTGATGTGACGTCATAATGAACTAGGGSAATTTAGTGTTGCACGGATATATTGCTTGCACTCTATTACCACTTATCAATTCTAATCTGCAATTTGCTTACATTTAACATTAAGAGTTCTATTATATTTGCAAATGGATTTTTATCAATCACAACACGCCCCGTCTCTAGGTGATAATTACTTCGTTAAAAAAAATTAAATGCCGGAATAAGACTTAATACTAATAAATAGGATTTCTCWACATTCCTACATTTAATCTTTAAATCCAAAAATAAAACCACACACACAAAAAAAACAAAAACAAATTTATGGTCATTGTCACTCATCGTCTTCCATAGTAATTTTCACTTGTCTTTCCGTGGGCGAAGCGAGGGATTTCCTCGCAGCTTCGATGCGAAGTCGACCGTCTTTTCCAAGTTTCGAGACGACGGAATCCATGTCTACATCTTTCGGGAGGACAAAATGGCGGTTAAACTGCCGAGAGGTAAAATGGCCGTGCGATTCAGACTCATGTCTAGCTTTAACAGTCAATTCATTGTTCAGTACTTTGACGGTTATTTCATCGGGAGAAAAACTACTAACATCCAGGGTCACGGTAAATTTCTTATCGTCGATCTTAGCTACGTCCCCAGAKGCATGAGAAGATCCCACTAGAGCAACTTCAGTTTCCTTTGGGGCGATTTTTGAGCCTTCAATATACAAAACGCCATCGTTGGAGATGCGGGAAGAAACAGATGATGGATCGACACTTTCTGGAACTACATAGGTCCGGTGGAATTCACTCGTCTCTGAACCAAATTCTCCCTCAGAATGATGTTTTCCATCGACTCGAATTTTGCCATGCTCAACATTCAGCGAAATTTCATTTGGCTGATAGTTCTTTACTTCCACTGTGGCAATAAGAATCTTGTCGGGATCCATTGTGGAAAGGAGCGACTATCCAATGCGACTTTGACCAGGCGATTCAAAAAGAAAGTCGTCTGTTTTCCCTCTAGTTAGTCACTGCCTTAGCAGAAAAACATCAATCACTCAACATATTAAATACATTCCTAGGATACTATAGGATGGTGCAAACTAGAATTACAKTCCAATTCGAGCCGTATATTCTGACCTCACCTTAGGAAAACTGATATGCCGCACCACTCACATCCACATTTCTAACGCCAATCAAAAATATTTAAATACAATATTTCACGCAACAAATTTTCGACGTTTGCGTATGAGTGCATTAGGTCAGCATATATGCTTCTATATTTGGACAGGCTGTATTTGGAAGATAAAAGACTCAGACAATTCCGGTTATTTTTGTTAACTGATACACGACATGTTTAGCTAAAATGCTAGTCATAAGGATCATTTAAAGTATCAGAACTTATTCAAATCACCTTACCACCATTGTACTCAATAGATAACTGACATATGTTTGAGAAAAGCCCTATAACATAACTATGACCACCCCTGTTAGTAGTCAAGCTCCAGCTGCGGATTCACATTGATTATGTGAAATAGAAATGATGGAAAGTTGTAGTTATAGAGAAGAAGGTCATTTCAGGCAAAAGACCTTTGGAAATAAATTCGGAAAATTTTTTTAATAAAAAGTTTCTTTCACACGGAATAGCCTTCTCTAATAGCMCTATAACTTTACATCTTTTCTATTTTATGTATTTCCTATTGACACGCGGTCATCATATTCACATGAACAGTTTATGGTTGCTCGTAATGGAATCTTATTAAAATCTACTCAAAACAAGCGCTTTTATCTTTTACCTTAGTGTGCGGTCTACCTTCAGGATTTGGCACTTTTCATCGATAATATAAAAATTAGGTAACACCTAATAGCGGATCTCCAATAGCAGAACAGAAGCTGAAAATGATTATCTAGAGTTAACTTTAATACTACTATTTCACAAAGCCTCGGTAGAGATGTGCTGTTTCAAGGAATGTCGACATSCAAATTAAACAGATATTCTAAACATATTTATTCATTTTAGCTTAAGAAAGAGTATGTTTATGAGAATTTCGTACTCTAAATTTAATATTGACTTCGGTAGATTTTGTTCCGTTGGACGAAGTTATTWTAATCTGTAAAGGTCATTTGATTTAAACTAAACTGAAAGTTTCTCGGCAGAAATAGTCTACATAAACTTACAATAATCGTAGGCGCAGAACGGTCGAAAGACACGCAAGATTTGACGATGCGAAGCGTTACACGTGAAGTCGTGTAAACAGTATCTAATTCTTTATTCACGAGTCGATTCTCTAACGTATAATGCGGTTCATAACTAGAAATTAACGATTACAAATAAAGTGTTACAAACTTGAAATATTAATGATCCTAAATTACGATAAAACTAACATTTTGTCCCTTCTACGCTACACGTTGACCATGATGCGATGAAAAGCGTGTCAATATGAAATTCTATACTATGTAGGGTTTAATCAATAACTCGGCCCAGTCCTATTTCTACGGTGGC